GAGATTGTTGTCTATTGCCCATAGCCAAATCATCATTTCCAGTTTTGCCAGGGCCGAATGGGATGACCTATGTGGTACTGGCCCTAATGTACACACCCTCACTAAAGAATTGAGACTTTTCAGCAGCAACATTGAACAGACCATCGTGGAAGATAATCGATAGCTGAGAGGACATATACTGAAAGGATCCGAAGGAGATACGGTATGTGCAGATTGGGACCTGTATTGATAGATCAGCGATAGTTGCCCTTTCGGCTTAGCCGTCGGGCGTTAATGAGTTGTGTGTGTAGAGGAAATTCAATAGCAGATAAAGCCGCAACAAGGCTAGATTCAAGTTCCACAGAAGGGCACGGTAATCATTATTAAACACAACTTAACGAATACATTGGTTTACAGGATGGGGAGTGCTAATTACCTGAATCAACGATCCCCATCCCTTTTTGTCGGGACATATCCTCCAGTCAGAATAAGCAAAGACATATTGTACGTAATCTTGCTCAGCTGCGGCTCCCGCCGCACAGATTCAGGGGCATTGGACGAGGACCTGGAATACACATCTATCATACACGAATCAATCAACTTTTGCTTTAGCATAAACTGTCCACTTAACTGTGTACACAGTACCTAGCTGATGATACCAACACTTTTAGCATCAGCTTGTTGCCACCGGCCATTTTCTTCCTCGCATATATGTACAGTCTCTAGAACAAGTCAAAATTTTGATGGCCACAGAAAGGTTTGTCGCATGGGATGGATTCCAAATATGATCTCTTCCTGGCTGCCGAACCAAAACTATAAATGCACATACACGACACCCAATGACTCTCGCACGATACAACCCTTTTCCTACTGGACAGGTATTCTATCACATAGAGTGAATCTGTTGGTATCACCAGCTAGGTACTGTGTACACAGTTAAGTGGACAGTGTTATGCCGTAAAGCAAAAAGTCAATTGATTCAAAAATGTAGATAGATGTGTGTTCCAAGTCCTCGTCCAATGCCCCTGAATCCATGCGGCGGGAGCCGCAGCTTAGCAAGATTACGTACAACATGTCTTTGCTTATTCTGACGGGAGGATATATCCCGACAGAATCAGACATGCACCTTTTACTGGCATTTTTCACCTCCATCTCGGTGGTTCTTGCCGGGACACTTCAGATAATGGACCATGAAGACCGATGCTTTGTGTATTCTACGGAGATCTTCGACTGTACTGGGATCTCAGAGCCATTTGCCCCTCTGAATGGCACTTCTTGCTCCAGTAAGACGGCCATTGTGGATGAAAAGCTAGTACTAACGGATCCCAGTTCTGATTACAGCGCGGAACGACACCAAATCCGAGTCCGATACAGTCAAAGTCAATTTATGTATCTCTTCCGGACATTCCGCGTGGGTAGAAGTGTATCGAAATGGTCTACTCTACTTTCATAATGACGAAGGAGACGAAGCGAGCTGCAAGGTGGACAACGCTCTACAAAAGGGTAGCTTATGCACCGCTGCCAGCAGTTCACGGACCTTGATGCCAAGCAAAAGTCCCCAGCCGACTCCATTTGACGCCACATCCTCCCGTGCCCCAGCCGCGCCAACAGTACCGACCACGACCCTTTCGAACTCGAGCTTTTCAAGTTCTACAGTGGATTGTTAGATACGAAAGCATTCACCTATCAGGGCCACTTTGCTGCGTGAGTGGCCGTTTTGTCTTTCGAAACTGAGTTCACCCGGTGGCCGTGGATACATATGATCTGTGGATTTCTTGCTGTCCTGCATCTCCCGTGTCCCCAATTGGCAGGTCTCGGAAAAATTCAAATGTTTTACTGTACCATTTGCGAAAGTTGTAGTCTGATCGAACTATTGAAGTATGGTGACTGCACGTGTATTAAAACAAGCCAGGGCAACCCACTTGACCGGTTTACTGGTTCTGTAGTTTCCTTGGCTAAGCTGGGAGGTGTGCTGTTTTCAAAGGGTCATGGTTAGTACAGAAGTTATTGAAACGGCTTAATCTTCCAGACACAAAATTTATTCCTCAGATAACTTACCTCTTTCGAGGGCTCTCAGCTGAATTTGGCTGGGGATAGCCTCATCAGGGCAGCGGTGTAATCAGCTGTAAGAAACTAGAATTCGTCGATCGCACTCCCTCCTAGACTACCGGCAAAGAAATCTGATAACCCCCAGGCAAGTTACTCTTTCTTAATAACTGTCACCTGGTCAAAATCGAGATATTTCAACAATTTTTAAAGGTCCCATTGTTTGGGTCGCTGTAAAAGTACGGGAGGCTACAGAGCTGGAGGTGGCGATGCATTAACTGTTCTACAGAGACAAATGAGCCCTGCGCTTCACTCTAGTAAGGCAATGTACAAAATTTAGTTTAGTCTATAGTTTGAGAGAGTTTTTTACTTGCAAGAAAGGTGGACAGATGAGGATGCTGGAAAGAATTCATTCCAGCGGAAAAGCAAAACTTTATTTTCATCGCGTATCGCCGTAGGACAGTCGGTCGTTCCGAATAGAAAAATCATTAACGCCGTATCTGCCGATTGATCTCAATCATTGCGCTGTCCGCCTGGCCTTGACGGTACGCATCAAAGTCTCGAATCATATAGTATCGCTGTCTCCCTTGAGACAGCTTTATCTTTTTCTCTTTCAGATAATCCTCCGCCACCTGTTCCGCTGTTGCGCGGAACCGAATAAGCTGAGCGCCAGTTTCCCAAGGAGATGCTTCCGTTGCCGGTGGAGCCCCGGTTTTGGTGTCAATGTGAGCCTTTGAGTCCATGTTGAAGAGAGGCATCTCGGTTGGGTTCGGCGGCTCTGTGGGCTCTCGCTTCACATACATGTCGATCGCCTCATCCACATTGTCACAGAGGTCTGTTACCTTTATATCGTCCATATCAAAGTCGGCCTTGGTGTTGGAGTTTACGTCATCAGCCTCGCCGCACAGACTTATATCAAGCTCGATCTTGATATTTGTTTGGTCGACGATTTCATCATCAGAACCATTTGCACTGAGGGGATCGGCATAATTGGCAGGGCGAAGCCGTAGCCTCTCGATCTCTCGCCGGCGATTTTCCGCTTCGTCGTGCTCTTGAGATGCAAAAATATCTAATTCCTTGCGCCAAGCTTGATCCAGCTCTCTTTGTTTTTCGTGATTAGCCATCGCGGCAAGCCCGTCGGCTACACCGATACGATAGCTGAATGTGGGCTTGCCACCTTTGTAAGCGCACGCCCAGTTTAGGATCCTATTGTGCGCCATCTCGAAGGACATCGCTGCGGCAACCGTGTTGCTGGCGATTCCGAAGAAGCTCCATTCTACACAGTCACCGCAGTACGTTGAATAGCACTTGCAGTCGAAGAAAGTACACATTGCATTGGCTAGTTTGCCGGCAAAAGCTTCCATCATGACCCTCTTATCCGAGCCATTGGTTTTTGTGATACGGACCTTGCTGTGTCCGCCAAACGAAGCCTTGCTGTTGCTTCTGTCGCTGGCTAGAAGATCCGCTTGTGTCACATTGTGTTGGCTCATAAGTTTTTGGGAGACGAATAGAGCAGCTTTTGCTTCTAACTCGGATGAGTTGGCGTGATGCGCTCGATCGAGGCATTTTCGAATCCTTTCCAGAATCTTTTTGTCGACGGCAGAAGTACTCGGGGCTTGGTCTTGGTCTGCGGTCTCAATGACGGTGGCCTTCTGCATCGGTTTTCTGTCGGACCTTTTTCGTCCGGCTTGACTGGATGTGAAAGGCATTTTGGTTCGAGAAGATCGAGGGTAAAACGCGAGGATTGTCGGTCAGAAAATATACTCTTGACAAAGAGACGACAGCGAGATCTAGATGAAGAAAGTGGGGTAGTAGACTATGTGTTAAGCTAAGAGATGGCATTTTACCACTAAAAGCTGGCTGACTCAGCGACTACCCACCCACTCCAGACCATGTGTTCTTGGATGGTAAACCGAGTCAACTCGGAATACCCGTGTTGTAACACGCAACACTAGCCTCTTGCCTCTGAAGCTATAAGACGCTCTCAACAGCGATCTCCAGGATAGTTCTTCACTCAACTCATTCAATAAGTTCCCTCAGTGAGTTTAACTGTTGATAAGATCTCTCCATGCGTTTCCTTTACTCCGAACTCTCACATCAACAATTGAAGGTTTAAATTGGGGCTCAAAAGGTCCTCTATGGAGACGCCATCACCTACCTGGAACCGCTTCGTCTCACCTTTTGCTGAACTCGTCCAGTAACAGGCTCAGCTCTTGTGGGCTTGTATTCGTCAATCCGACTCTGCGAGAAATTGGAGTAACATTTACTTTGCAGATAAGCTTATACAACACACTCATACAACATTGACCCAACAAGACATTTCCTCTTTTCTGGCTACCACATTTTGCTGTTGAGAAATCGTCAGACTTGAGTAAACAGAACGACCGTTGAGGCGCATTTAAGGTTTGCTGTGGGCCACCCATCTACCCATCTCTGTCCCCAAGCGCCTTGGTTGTGTTCGGCTAGCTCGTATGGTTAGAGTTTACCGTCGGGATTAACATCGAAGGCCGTTTTCTTCACTGGGCAGCCACTGGTTCATAGATTTTAGGCACGGACTGTGTTACCTACTGTTGGTAAACTTCGATCCTGTCAAAGATCTTAATCCCAATGCTGGTTTCCTTTCAGCCTAAGCAAAATGTAATTTAAGCTAACAGTACATAACAGCTGAGCCTGCGGAGGGAGTCGTTAACGGCGGGGAAAGATTTTCTCACTGTTTGTTCTTCACTTCTATTATGCAGGTGAATGATGTTAACGGCATTACGGGTGCAACTGTGCCAACGGCGTCAACAGCATCGAGAAGGGAGGGGAGGATATTCACCCTCCTAAAGTTCAGATGTTATAGTACTGCAATCCTTGCTAGGATTCCTGTCCCATCGAATACACCTTGATTTGTATAAGCTGTTTTTAGAAAGTACATAAACAATTAGAACTCCAGTCAAATTGAATCATCGTTTTCTGAGTATCAAAAAGTTAGGATGCGCACCTTTGGTCTTGCCCTTCTGCCGCTATGCGGTCTCATTGTTGCATCGCCTGTAGCTGATCCACCGCAAAGTGTGGACATTCACAACTCACCTCCATCGGATCTTAAGATACCGCCCAAGCAGATTTTGTTCACCAAATGTCTGGATAACCCCTTCCCCAACGGCATTCCAAATCAGCCGGGCAAATGTGATGGGAAATTTCCGTCCAACGACCGCTTCCGCACCATCGGAACCAGTGGTCCTCTATATCACGAGAAGGACTCCAGATGCAGTGATACTGAAAAGAATATTTTCGAGACAGCTCTCTGGGAGGCGGCGACGCTTGCTTCATATTCGTCCAACCTCCCAAATAACGGGGCGGGCTCCAGAGGCTCTGCGTCAGCCTTGTGCAAAGAATCATGCAAATTCTCACCGATTACCTTAACTGGAACTTATCAAAGCCCCTCGTCTTTCTCAAGCTCAATTCCTCCTGGGAGCAGTGGAATCAGGTACCCAGTGTCAGTCAAACCTGGAGTTAGCCCGCGTCCTTCTCCCCCTCCCAAGACTACTGTTAGCTTATCAAGCTCTGTTTCTCTAGGAACAGAGCATACTTTGTCTGAACTTTTTGGTAAAGTGGGAGATGCTCTTTCCCCGAGGCCCGTCGTCATGGGCTCAAAAACTGGTATCTATGGTCTGACCACTTTCATTCCGATCATCTCTGGCGGACCGATTACATCCCCGTCAGCTACTTCCAATCCTACACTGGAAATCATTGCACCAACAAGTCCGGAGGCTCAGTCGAGTATTAGCCACCTGTCAGCGGAGCTTGTTGGCCTTATTCGCAAGATTAACTCATGGGTCGAGCATCCTGACGCCCCCGAGGCTACAGGCGTTATTCATGCTATCGAGAATATTCATCCGGATATTGAGGGCCTCCTCAAGAGGCTCGATCCCGAATCGGGCTCAAGGAGTTGTAAGAGCACGAGTAGGAAACGCATTAAGAGAGACATCTCTAGCCGCAGCGCTTTCCTGTCCTTGTTTGATCTCGTGGATAACACCCTTTGTTCAGTAAATGATATCAGAAACAATGTCAGGGACAACATTCTGAACGACGTGAAATCGAACCTCAAGGACCTTCAGAATGAGGTTGACAGCCTTCCTCAAGAAACGGGGCCAGATAAACAGCCCACTCAGTCTCGAAGCCAATCGTCTTCGAACCCATCAACTTCATCGTTATCTTGCTCTGCGCCAGCAACAGTCAGCGATTGCAGTGTCATTTGTGACATATCAACCCTACCCACTTCTACCGTATCTTGCTCTACCACTTGCTATTCTACATTCTTGGATTGTAGTTCGACAGGCACAATCACAACCACCACTGTCGAAGCTTGTACAAAACCCTCAGGCTGGAGCAATGTGGCGGACGGGGAGGATTTTCCTATGTCCCAGCACCTTGGCACATCAGGTATAGCTGCACCCAGTGGCGCAAGTGCGTCCTGGCGCTCTACGCCAATTGCACGGAGCCTACGACTGGGAGCTCGGCCCAGCTCCTCAGTTCCTGTAGTGACAAGTGTCGGCTTCCCAACCTCATCGAATGCAACCATCAAGTTGAGCACATCCATCCCAGATTGTCTGGCAGATGGGGCTCCGTGGTACAGCCCTACAAGTTGGTGCGACTGTGGACCGGGTTCAACCTATCCAACACTGCCTGTTACCTCTGGTTCTACGATAGCCAATTGTGCATACACTTCGCTGCCTGCATCAACCATTCAACCTGCGAGTACGTCCGCCGCGCCAACGAATATCCCAGGCCAAGGCGGTATTCCGGCCTGTGTTGCGGTTGCTTCAAGCAAGGAAACATCAGCATACTGTAACTGCGGTGGTATACTGGCTCCAACCCTCAATCCCACCGCTTCTGGGCTGCTAAACTGTGCCTACACGGCTCTGCCAACTCATTCCTACAACCCGGGGCGGACGCCGCCATCTGCTACGCCAGCCCGCTCATATGCACCTGGAAAGTGCAAGGTGCATATCGTGCAAGCCCTCGGACAACAATTTAGAGATCCTGAAGTCGTGCTCGGCATTAATATCACTGACGCGCATGGCACCACTATTGGTAATAACAAGGGCTCCGTTAAGTGGGGTCAAACACTCAATACAGACAGTCTACTCCCATGGGTCCTCATAGTGACTCCGCAGAGTGGTATTAGCAGCAAGAGAGGAACATCTGGGGCATTCCTTCGAAAGAGGGCGGGGGGGTTCTATTCACTCTAATCGGCTGTTGTTCGAGAGCGGCCCGGTTTATTTTGCGTATGCTTCGCAAACGTGGGATGCCACCTCTTCACAATGCTCGGTGGGAGACTGGAATAACGGCAACGCGAACGACTCCTTTGGATCCCTGATTTTCGGTGAAGACTTTTTGCCTAATCGCCAAATCGATTGCTTATTTGACTGCCCGGCTCCAGATAATAGTGAGAAACGGGATATGGTTGAGCATCATGACAAAGTATGGAAGCAAGACTTGAAAAGTCCTTCGCCGACTATCGGCAACGACCCGTCACCTAGTGTTGAACAACTCTATGAGATACGAGATCTGAATCCCCAAGCAAGCCATGGCGCAGCGTGGGTCAAGTACGCCCCAAGTGGAGCACGATATTTCAAAGAGTGGCAAGAAAAGACAGGCAATGACATAGTATACTCATGCGACTTCGACGATTTCTTCAATGTCGTAGCCTTGAACCGAGCACAGCCAGCGAGCGGTATCCGAGGCATCCTCCAAGAAGCAGGATACGGCACTGGCCGGGAGTATCTCGCTGTCTCTATCGAAGGCCCCAAGGAAAACCCCATCGCTGACTTTACCAACACCATCAGCGCCACCCAGGGCGTCTTTCTGGCCAACGCGAACGACCGCGGCAGCCCACCTGTGGCCTGGCAGTTTTCAGCGGTTGCCTGGGAATTGTGGAAAAGAACCGTGCTGACAGAGAACCCGGAATGGAAAAATGACATGTCAAAAGCAGACTACTCAGGCATCACGTCTTTCTGGCGCCGGCGGGAGATCGACAATGAGGACACCCAGTACGGCGGTGCGTAGCGGCCATTCTCCAGTGCATAATTATTAAGCAAGATTTACTGGCAGAATTTACGACCAAGTCACGTTTCTCCACAATTTAACTATGTACTTTCGAAGTAGCCACATAATCTCTCATAAGGGCTTATCAAATTCACGTTTACAATAATCTATCTAACTCATAAGGGCTTAGTTATGAGGCAGAATTAAGGCTAGCTTAGGAGGGGGAAGGGGGTGGAAAAGGGAAGAAATAATCCTTAACGGAGGTAGCGGAGGCCAAGTATTAAGGAGAGAGAATGATCACATGACTAAGATTCAGGGATTTTCACGTGATTTTGCCTAAAAGGTAAGGTATCAGTAGAAGGGCGGACCCAGAGGCGGTCAATCATATACATGATTTAGCACCAGTCTTGCTTAATAATTATGCACTGGAGAATGGCCGCTACGCACCGCCGTACACCCAGTCCATCCTCCACGACGCTTTCAATGACCTGGATATCAATTCCATCCAGACGTGGCACCCGGCCGATACTAATCAAGATACCAACCCTTTCTGGGCGCTGCTGGGGAGCCCCAATGGCAATGGAATCCAGCACTTCTTGACGGATAACAAGGTGGAGCTAAAGGGTAAGGGAGTGATCAGTATCAGTGCGGTGATGAGAAGTAGCGGGTATTATACCATGTGGGCGACCTTTGGATGATAGTCGAGCATTATATATCGTCAGAAGAGTTAGATACTGCCCTTCCCGACAAGCCCATTGATCAACACATAAAACATCATTATCTATCACCTGGGCAGAAATTATGAAAGGAAATCTATCTGCCATATCTCAGAATACTGGGGCTATTGTGTGCTAAAGATGGCGAGGTGGTTTCGAAAACGATGCTTGTCAGTAGGTAAAGACGTCAAGAAGATGCGAAGGCCTAGCCAGGATCTCGCTTCTGACCCGATACCTCTGCCCGAACCACACGTGCTTCCCACAATGGAGACTAAGATGTGAGTTCGAACACGGCTTTTTCCAACGAGGGCATTATCTAATTCAGTTTGTGTAGGAGGTTCAGGCATTTCGTTAAATCCCTGCAAGGAAAGAACGTATCCGGTGAGAACAGAACCTCGGATGCTACGATTGCCTATGGACTGAAAGATTGACTAGAAGTGCTGTATGCGCTGTATACCTTCTTTGAGATGCTGGAGGACCGAGTTCCATGTCAGACACAGCATATGATTCTTCAGTCAATCCAGCGGCATCTTGAATATCATGCATTTTGGTACCTCAAGCGGTATTTCCTCCCAGACTCTACGGAGGTTGGGACAGTTCTGGACGGCCATGGAGACATTTCGTGGTGCTACTACAAGCCCCTGAAATCAGATTTTCTTTTCACTCTACCTACAACCTGGGCAATCTCATACTATTAGGAGCCACACGTGATCCAAATCTTGGTCGCTGGCCAAGTTGATCTCTGCAGATCGTTTTGTGTACCATGGATCGTATATCCGGAGAATTTTTGCAGACCAAAGTGGGTCTCACCGTTGACTTCCGAAGTGTAACCGTTCAGATCTGTCAACGTCACTTGGTTACAAGGCAAGACGGGTATCCGGTGGTGCCTGATTTCCTCTGGCAACATTTCCTATGTAGGCATTTTTGTGGTTCAATTAGTTTGAATAGAAGATTCCCGGGCTACGCCTCCTGGTGACCACCAACTTCACAGATCTACAATTTTTGAGAACTGTTGTCAACTTTGAGATAACGGTAGTCTACAAAAGCGATGGCTCGTTCGTTGTGCAGTTGTCCTGTCGGACGTGATCTGATACATAGCCAGAAATTCGTCACCTTAACGGCCGTAAATAACGAATAGATTGAGGATGGATGGTTGCTGAACACCAGGTAAAATATGCAGCATGGAGAATAAAACGCACACCAATTCCTAAGGCCAGCACTGGCCCTAGGAACTTGATGTCCTTACCAATAATATGGACAAACCATCCCAGTATGTAACAGACTGGGACTCAGGAATGGAAGGGGTGGCCCCAGGACTTGCCTCGAAGATTTCTAGAAACTTCCCCTTCCTGGGAATAGGTAATATTATGAAACATTCCAAATAGTGTACCCCTCTACCAGATCAGCCGTATCGAGCTGCCTGGAATACCCGCAATGTCACACTCAGGGTATATCACTGCGTCGGCCCCGCTCAATACCATATCATAAAACGCCGCCAATTACTTTTTTGTTGTAGCACACTCTTTTCAACATACCCTGTTTCGGAGCTCGCTCTTTCCCTTCTCCGCTCACAATGACCAGCCATAGTGCATGGGTTGATCATCCCAACACTATTATTGTACCAGATGAGGATGACACACGAAATCTGGCATTAGAATCGGATTCTGTACGATCAGCGGGCCGCCTCTTGACTACTTCAGGATACGTGGAGGCTGCGGGTGTACTCGTTGGATCTAGCATGAATGCACATGAGACCTCGACCTCTCTGAAACGAAAACGAACGAAATCGAAGGAACTGTCCGACTTGGTATGTCCTGGTTTCGTGACTTGATCATTATCATCTGGGACTGATTGAGACTAGGATCATACTTTTAAGAAACTCCGAACTGCAATTGATACCGAATTCACAACATTACGAAAAGAAAATCAGAAGCTTAAAAATGATATTAGTGTGGAGAGGGATAAAACCCAGAAATTACAAGCTGAAGTCCTAGAGCTGGGCAGAAAATTGAACCCTGAGTGCAAAGTTTGTTACAGACGGGACGAAAAATGGACTGTGCTTTTATGTGGACACATGTTCTGCTGGTCATGTGTTGAAAGCCTCGAGAAGCCACGGAGATGTCCATATTGCAGAGCTGATGTCATGGGATACTTTGTCTGTTATCCATTCGCCGGGTGAATGAGAAAGTACAGCTCCGTGGAAGGGAGGACAGTATTCTATCATGCGCGGACTATCGACCGTCCAGGACTGGCATATCTGAAATTGAATCTGGCTAGTACATGGCAAATTTGTTGTCTGGTGTTCCCTAGACATCATACGATGACATCTTCTCCGCTGGCATTTACGGCATAGTTGAACGAATAGATTGTTACATTGGCGGATTTTCACGCTATAATTGATTCCTAACCATAGGCTTAGGCACGGTCGGCAAGTCTAACCGCGGTTTTCTGGCAATGGAAATTCATCATAGCCAATACTGACTGCAAGCCTGGCTGGACCAGGTCGAATCGTACCTCCCATCTTAGCATTGCCGGCCACCGTGGTAGTGTAGGCGTTATGGACAGCTGCGCTTCTCGCGTCGACCGATGAGCAAGTGTCTGTGTGGACGTCACATATTCTCATACCTTGGACTTCCAAGCCCGCCTTCTCTGCAGCTATCGTGGAAACAACGAAAGCTGATCTTCCAAAGTTGATCGCTGACCCAAAGTCGAACTCTCCCCATGTTGCGGCATAGCTACCATCCCGGTCAACTGGAATGGATGAACCTGAAGCAGCGGCCCATCCACCTTGAGAGTTGTCATCGAAAGCTATATACCGAACTTGACCGCGGTCCAGAGTGAATGTTCTGCAAGCGTTGCCAAGCCAACCTCCTAGATATCCGTCGGAAGCAAAATTATTCCATATCGACACGGTCCAGCTACGTCTATTGCTGGGAGCTTCGAACCGGACAACATATTTGTACTGGTTTGCGGCCTCGGCAGATACTTCGATGATATTGCTACCATATGGATCGCCAACGTTGCCCAGATATTGAACCCTTTTCACCAGAAAAGTTGGAGGTCTGAGGGATATCAATGCAGAGGGAGGTGCACTCATATAAGCGATGTTCCAGTTGAACATGATCTGGGACGCGTCTGTGGCGTTGGAGTACTCATAGCCACGACAGCATGATTGCAGGAAGGACCATGCGAGAACCCAGAAATGGGGTAGCATGATCGACAGACGAATATTGCAAAGCGGAAAAAATGATGTGTACGGTATGGTGATATGTTGGAAAAGGAGAACTTTTGACACGATTCGATGGCCTACAAATACTTTAGGTCTTGCTAGCAGCCAATATCAAAGCGGTCTAATAGCACTTCCACGCTAAAAAAAATAATTTCTGATACCTCTTTGTCCCGATACATCAAATCCTTAACTAACTGGTGGTTTAAACATGTAAAAAGGTGAAAATAAGTGCGGTGTCTGGGATGAATCAACGATGAGGTCAACGTTTGATATTGCCCGAAATGACGGCCAACGAGGAAATTATTCGGATGGTCCGCAAATACTTTGAGGTCAATGTTTGATTATCATGACAACATATCAAAAACAACTTCTTTTGTTCTCTTAGACTGATATCAGTAAACTGAGCATCGCCGCGCATGAAGTTAATTTTTGGCACCAAATGAAAGTCGGGTGGGCTAATAGCATGATTGATTCAATCATGGCTCTGAAAGATGCCATGAGACCGTTACTGCTATGGAGAGTTCAGCCGTAGAAAAGTTTTGATCAAGACCTTTTTAGAAAGCTCTGTTAACGTATATGAGCTACACATGACTCGACTGCAGGACACCATGTAATGAGAAGTACTAAGAGAGATTCTGCTGTGAGATTTCTCGTCTATAGACATCTGTTAACTGCAGGAAAATACGAGTTCTGATGATATGGCGGTGGAAAAGCTGAGGTTTCTTAGTACCTTGTTAGACTCAAACACACGAGTCTAGCCTACTGTAGCATGGTGCATTCTTCACACTACGTTCTCCATCCTCAAGTAAAATTACAGGTGTTCTGAAATCAGGTTCTCATAATTCGATAATATTAGGCTGAATGAGGTCTGTCATTAGGCACCTCCAATGTCTGGTGCGACCGATTTCAAAATTGATGACTAGAAATTCTCTCAGCAAAGAACGTTGTTTTGAGTAGCCTCAATATTCTTTTTTGAAGAGGTGTCAATTGGGAGATATAAAGCTTCATGAAACGCCATCTTGTAGAGTCTTGGACGTTTTACTTATTATTATCTACACAGAAAGGCTGGAGAATTGGTCAGCTAGAAAATTCAAAACGTCCACCCGATGTATCAGCAGTCTGAAATCGATGAAATGGAGCGGGATGTCTTTGCTCATCGCCAGCGACGCTTTCGGTTATCTGCAAGAGTCCACATAGTAAATTTCTCTTTTGAGCAGAGTTTTCGCAAACGAATGGACAGTGGTCAGAACACCCGCCGGATAAAACGAATCATGACAATTCAAGGTTGTCGTCGATTAATGCAAAATAACCATGTCCCCGTCATCGTACCCAAAGCAGACTGGAACACCCGTGTTCGTCCGCGTTCACACGATGGTATCAATTTCTGGCTAGATGTTGATCCAGATTATCAGCTCCGCGCCCAGGACCACGAGAGCCTCATCAGAGCCGCCCTTGGTGGGCTCAGTATTCACAATCAATGGTGGATCGCTGATGTCTATGTAGTGGATGAGGACGGTACGTCAGTTCTAGTGCACAAAGACGTGAAAGATCATCGCTAATTATTATGCCATTCAGACGACCGTGACACCAACCCAGATACTGTGAAGCGATTTTTTCGGTCGCTGAACGAGCGATTCTCCAACGACCGTCGGCCCCCTGATGGGCTGGTATATGAGCGGATTCGTTACTATGAAGGTCATCTAGATGGGCCAATCGATGAGTGGGCTGCGAAGGATTGGTGGGCTATGTTGGAGACGACGCCTGGCAGTAAAAAAGGGAAATACCTTCGTGCATTCTTGAGGCATCCACGATTTCCCCAGAAGCTTGATTCCCTGCTGATCATTGGTGGTCTATGGGGAGGAATGCGTATTGGTCTTTTACACAAGCTGCTAGCAATGCATTGTGATGAGGTACGTCGCTATCCAGAAGTGCTAAAGCTTTGGCTGATGCTTTACGTCGCAGCCAATCCTTTGTTATTGGGACTTGATTCTCAAGACATTTCTGAAAATTGCGGGCAACCGGCATGAGCTCCTGCCTCTGATGGATGGAGCTACGGTGAAGTTGCTCCAATCTCGGGCCCCGAAAGTCTCTCCTCGCGATCATGGATTCTTAAAAGGGAAGAAGGATCGCGCTGAGCTGTTTCCAAACCTGTCGCCTTCACAGCGGCAAGAATTTTGGCAACAGTTACAAGAAATTGACTACCCAATTCCAACTCTGGAGACGTTCTTCAAAGATCGTTCCTATCTCGAGGTCGGCCAAAGCGTCATGAAACAACTTTATCCAGCTGATCCACACCGACAACTCACCGTTGATCAAAGGGTCAGTGAGTTATTCGATACACGCTTGCCAGTCCTTTATACCATGAGTCAGCAAAGGCTTGGACATGATTTACTGGAATTCTGGCGCTTTAGCTTCCAATATGGTTTTGAGCTGACAGATCACCAACGTCGCAAAGCTCTGGTTAAGGCTTCAAGGGAGTCCACTCCTAGTTTAGTTTTCGAGGAGCCCGGCCCTCCAGACAGGATGCATATATGGGGCCACTTCTGCCAAATTATTCAATCTAGAGGCTTTCGACCTCCTACTAGATTCGACTTCGTACCTCGGACCCGACTTCCCGACCCAGTTGCTTGTGATTTTCCCGAGATAGGGCTGGAAAAAGACGTTGAAGTGGAGAAGCGCTCGGGGAAACCCTTCTCCAATACAGTTGAGGCAGACCGTTATGCTCTATCCGCCGAATCTCTTCGACAAAGTTGGACGACTCCTCAAGTGACGGCAGGATTCCTACGGAGGTCCGTTTTCAAGGCATTTTTCTCTTATCTCATCGAAGAGGGCCAGGAATTCAACCAAGGACCGGCAGTCCATAGTACCCCGATCGATCTCAACGATTTCTCACGAGAGGTAGTTCGTCCAAACGCAGATGTAGATATCGGAAACACGGAGATGGCGTCAAACCTTGAACAGGCACCAGGATCTGCCATCCCAGTCGAGACATTCACGGCTCTACCTACCGCTATCATTGAGGGTGATCCAGGTGTGACAACTCACCCAAGCCAAGGGCAATTGTATTTCCCCATGCTTGTCACGATCGGCAGTGACCAGAAATCGCTGAATTTGCCCGATGACCATGAATTCATGAATTTGTTTCAGCACGGACTGAACCAGCACTATTTTAGTATTGCGGTACCAGACGGACGACTGATCTGTCCGGATGAATGCTATACATATTATCTCCGCCATCCGGCAGAAACATTACATGCGCAATATTATAATAGAGAATCTACCATCACTCCTGAGTCAAATGCTCAAGCGATGTTGACAGACCCACCCCGGCAAAATGATGCAAGGACCCAGATGAAACAAGCCAAAAATTGGCTGAACGAAATAGCGCGTCAGTGTGTTCAAAACACATGATCTGATATGGGCGAGCTGAAATCCTATTTCCGATCGAGTTACTTCCAAGATCAGCTAGAGACACTCTGCAGGCAGTACAGGAGAGCCATGGAACAGAAATCCAGAGGTTTCACCTGTTGAATCTAGCAACCTGAAGATGTGTCAGGCCAGTCATATTAAGGTGAAAAATTCAGACAACGCGGTATTTTGAATGAATACTCTCCATTTACCCATTCCTGTCAACACGGGCAGTGTGCAGATGAACTTCCTCTATGGTTCTTTAAGGAAGTTTGATACTATTTCGACCTTGAACAGGAATCATCGCAGTCGCACTGTGGGTGATATAGTTATGATTCTCGAGTTATTGATCGTTCACTATTGAGTCTCACATGTCCGCTGAATAATACAGTCTATCAACTATGTGACAGCTACGGAGTACTTGGAGATAGGCCAATCAGGGCAACGGAATCAAAAGGGGAGAAATTGAGTATATGATTGATTGATTGAAGAACATAAAATGAGGGCGCTCATGGGGGTTGAAATACCCATGAACTTACAGTGTAACGGAGGTCCACGGATGTTGAATATCCTGGTGCCTGATGACAACATAAACAGCTGGGATTCGCCATATAAAAGTGTTGCATCATCTAGAAAACAATTGATGTGATGTTCATCCTTGTTTTGGTACGAGTAGCAACCCATTGGGGTTGACACAGTCTTTTCCTCTTACCCGCCAAAGCGATAATCATCTATGCTTTACCAAGTTCCTTAAATATAGACTTGGAATAGAGAACCGTATCGTATATAATCAAGGCGTGATGTGTGGCCATCTTCATTCCGGTTCTGGTGAATTGTAAACGCACGCTGAGGGCGGGTTTGCACATAAAAGTTCGTATGCACTGGGGTTTCCAAGTGCGAAGAGATCAACACCAAGATCACATTGACATACCACGATATAGAGGAGCAACACTATATTTTTCCATTTTGTGATGAATTTTATCAGAGCTTTTGCAACAGTCTGAAGATGGAGCTACAAACTTTGAGATAAGTTCCAATAGAAATTCATATGCTTCGCGAATTCTCACAGCTTCTCCCTATTTCAGAAAACTTTGTTCACCCAAGACCCAATATTCCCCGATAGGTTAGACGGTATTCAACTGTGTACCTGGACCTCCAGCGGGCACAATCACACCGGCGTACAGGATGATGCTCTGGAGCAAGACCACGTGCATTATGACCAAGCCTATTCGGGGTAAAAACCGCATTTGAAAAGTACCCGAGTTGCATATCATGTAAAGGCCAGCGCCAAGAGCATTTTGTAATGACATGTGAAGAAATTCCACCGCAAGCCTAGTTTTCTCTCCCGACATGACCAAAGTATGAAAAGCGGGAACAAGAGATAGCAGTCCAAAACGCGCACACAGGTATGGGAACCGGGCCTCAATTGCTGCGGTATCCAAAGAGCTAGTATAAAGATCGGCGATGCTCACAAGGAACATTAAAGTAGAAGCAATCAGATATGAAAATTGCAGTAATGGTTCGGTATCAAAGAAAAGCATGATAACAGACAAAGTGCTTCCCCAGATGAGAGCAAGAACCCCTCCATATTCTACCGCTCTTCTGAGTGCAGCATGGCTGCCTTCAAGACACAGCTGGCTCCATGACCAGAGAGAGGAAGCACACCAAACAATGGCTCCAAAGCAGTACAGTAGGAAGGGAACAGTCATGTTCGAATCTGGTTTCGTCTGTTTTGGATATGCGAGTGTTGTTTGTGAAGCCAAAGTTGAAAAGTATGCTGCTCCAAAAAGATGAAGCGCGGAGATGATTATCGAGTCACAAGCCTGAGAAAGATTCATCTCGTCTGTGTGGAGTACTGTATAAAGAGAATGAGAAGTGAATGATTTGGAACCCATCAGCCACTTATAAATTACCCAGTTAGAGGGCAATTGATTTTCGAGACATGGGAAGTAAATATTGAGTGTGGATGGGGCTAATCATTTTGAACAGCCCCCAGCCTGCGGTCAATGAAATTTTTTTTCTGTAGATCAGAGCCTAGCAAGGTGTTTTGGTGATCCGTTTGTCACTGTTGAAGCCCGTCACTCTTGATACCAAAGCGTGTATTTGCGTATTCAACGTTAATAACCGTTTCTATTCAGTGATTGTGACAACTGAACAATTTAAGGAAACCGGAAGGTGATTGTGGGGTGTTAAATTGGATCAATTTAGTACTTGAAGCGTGGTGATATCCTGGGAAACTGACGAGCTTCTCATTCCAGTCTAAGAAGTTATCATCAAGAATTCCCTCGACAGCAATAATGACTCAAGAGCCGACCGACATCTTTGAAGTTTTGTCATCCTACTACGAATCTGAAAGTGCAGGCTCAGAGAGCTCTTTCTTAGCATCTTCAGAAGACGACAACACAGAAATCAGCGAAGATCGCGATTTCGTGGTTTCCGATGGCGAATCCCTGGTCTACACGGAAGGTTCATCAGTCTCCTCTGATGACAGTGAGCTCGAGGAACCAAATTCGGAATATGACGATGCCGCTGGGGTAAGTAGAGCCAGTGAGGTGACTTCAATTTTGAATGATTGTGGGTAATTTAACATTCGGAACAGGTTGGTAAGAAATTTCCCATAAGTGCCATCGCACAACGCGTCATCAATCGAAACGGAGTTCTGGTGACGCAGTATTTGGTTCTTTGGCAGTCCTGGGAAGATTCATATCCATGAGGCTAGGAGAACGGTATGTGGCTTCGTTACTGAGGCCAGCATAGATCAAGTGAAGGGGCTTTCCAGTGTCAAAGTGTGCCACCCAATTTCAAAAGAATCAGAGTAATATGAGGTGGCTCTACCTTTTCTCGTTTCAGGAAGATATCTATATTTATGACGGAGATAATCAAACCAGATCCCATTGAAAGTGAACTGGATTCAGGCGTTGCTTTGACCTTTTTCGGGGTTTGCAGCCGGGATAATGGGTAAATATCTTGTCCTCCTGTATCCCGCAGAGTTGCCTGGTCATGTAGCTATAAATTCTTTATAAGAGGCCAAAAACGATCCAGGTTGAATTATTGTCTCCTATGGGCTTAGGACTTTTGATTCAAAAGAGAGAGATAGAGAGTAAAGGATCGTCGGTAAGCTGTCGTCAGTTCTGGAGGAGACAAGACAGCATAATGAAATGGCGTGCGTACCTGCAAATAGCAGCGGCTCCTATCTTTGGAAAATTCTATCCATGAGACCCGTGAAGTGCAAGTGGGATGGGGCTGGGCACAAATGTTGAAATCTGCCACCTTTGGTTCAACAGGTTGATTTCAGCTTGTCTGTTCAGAAACAGTGAGACCTTTATATTCACTATGAGCCAAGCCCTGCACGCACATAACACAGCCCAGAGCTTATATTGTATTCAATGGCAAAGATGCTCTTGCTTTAGAAAGAACACGGTTCTTTTTTCCCAACTTCACTCTCGGTAAGAGCCGTCAAGAGCTTTTTGAAGGTCAACAACCATCCGTTCCAATCCAAAGCGCCGGTGATGCTGATGACTGAAGAAACCTCTGAGCGGATTTGGTGGCAATTCCATAGCCTATACAAGAGGTGTGTCACTTACAGTATAGGGTAGTAAACACAAATGCTGATTTTCAAAGCTTAACTCAGACGGTCCAGCCAGAGATTTCCTCACCATCGGCCCTTCGGTTTCCGTTTATTTACTCTAAGACGGAGGAGTTGGTCTGGCGATGGGATCAATTAAGGCTTTGTGGCCAGAGTATCGACATTGCTCTAGAGACAGTCGAAATACTGGACGACCAACCAATCAACTGGTCGGACCGAGATCACCAGTACATTTCTGGTGAAGGAAGCACCCTCAAAGTCTTACCTCCAGCACATCTCACCAATCTGGACTGGGACGGGTACAAGATTGGAATTTTCCAATCACCCACATCAGTCAGCAGGAAGATCATTTTGCTCGGTTATCGGAGCCATGGTCCGATATTCAAATTCCCGAGGTTTTTGCATCCCCATGGTCAGACTCGATGGAGGAAATTTCAGCAGCGTCGCGTTGGCTGGTCGACTGAACTCTGGATCTCGGATTGCGTTGTCATTGATCGAATGAGCCCAGAAAAACAAAAACTGGTGATATCGGCGTTGCGATCTAAAGAGAGTTCCGCGAGAGTTTTCATCTGCATCGGACTACCAGTCACCACATTTGGCCCACTGTTCAATACTATCGTATCCACACACAACGGTGGCACAGACTCTTTTGAGCTTTCCAATGGCTTCATTTGGGTAGAAGCCTTGTTGGACGTGAAGACGTTCTCGATGAAATCAGACACACTCCAGGACCCTATCCACCATCCATTTCTGTACATGCAGAAGCAAATGGGCAGCAAGTCATTATTGGTAGAGGCAAAACTTACTTTCGAATTGGCAACCTCGACCCGGATGAAGACAGCTATACAGGCTGAGTTGCTTGAAGTGTCCAATATTCGCACCACGTCTTCGCACAAACCAATCACACACGCAGAACCTGAGAGCTTGGTAGTGTGAAAAATACCTCGTGGCTCAGACACAGTTCGAAACCGGATCTCGCTCCTTGAAATTAGGATCCAAGACCACATATTGGTTCAGATAATAATCCAACCCGCAAACAAAGCTAGTTTCGTCCCATTCTTAAATTCTCTCATGCTGTACTGTATCAATACTACCCGTCACGGTGATCACGATGCAAGATGACTTGAGGAACGTGTCAGGTTTCATGGACGGCAGACTAGGCGTCTTCTCGGAAAAATCAGCAACTGATTATGAAATTTTCAAAAAGGACTGGTCTTTCCCGTTTTGCACCGCCATCCTCGATGTTGTAGAAGGACAGTAGTTCATTCGATCCTTACAGCATCTTGTGGCGTCATAATCTACCTCTCCACATGAAATGATGTAGATAGCACAAACATCGCAAAATTGTGCGAGTATTACCGGCATATTCATAGTACTAAGTAGACCTCTGCGGGCTCTTCAATTCTCATTTCTGATCTCACTCAAATGCAATGTCGCTCTGGCGAGGCTCATGAGGTCGCTAATGGAATGGTGCCTCTCTGCGACAAGTGGTTGCTAGCGGCGGTCAGTGTCTGACAGTAACGCTTCGGTCATATATGTCTCTTACTTGTTTTAAAACAAAGAGGGATGGTTCTCCCTTGGCGGCATTCAGAAATTGAACGATGTTGGATTTGATGGGCGAGCCACTCAGCATGTCGTTCGTAGCTACATCCTTGTCATCTCGAATCATGAGCTGCATCACAATAGATGGTATTGCTGCAATATAAGTTGCCTCCGCCTGGGCCGCGGTACAATCTACACACCATTCTAGGCGTGCTACAAGTCATCAGTAACGGGGTGAATCTGAGAGGATGATTGCTGACATACCGATCTTTACCACTCCATCCAGTCCAAACAGTATATCATGACATGTCAAGGATGGATGAGTCAGACCAAAGGTGCTGAGGTAGGATACACCGTTGAGAACCTGATAATAAGTCATTCCAGTCCCTATTGCTGCAGAAGGCCACCTACTTGAACCATAATACATCCGAGCTCGAACTCCGCAGGACGAATTGTCGGGCAGGCTATGAGATGGCCGAGGGTTAACGCCAGATCGTCCACCAGAAAATACGCGAAATCAACATCGAGGTAACACTCCAACAAAGAAAGCACATTTCTGTGTTGAAGCCGCCCAAATCGTCCGATTAGCCGCCGCGTATCCTGTTTGGGATACTTCCGGATGGCAACCATGCGAGAGGGACGGGAGCAGCGAGTGGCGATGGTAACTTTCCCTGCGCCGTCGTAGGTGACCACTGGGTGATAGGTATCCCATGGCGATTCTCGTCTGACAATCAAGACGGATGCGATATCGTCGGTATTGCACAAGCGAGGAAGATAAAGGGTCTTTGGGGGGCCAGTGATGACTTTCGGTGAGGGCGCGCGACAGGATGGGCGACTCTCTCTCTTCGCTATCCACTTACTATCCGCATTGATGGCGGAACGATCAACTGTTGTTGAGGGGCGTGCCTGAGCCCGGATTGCAGCGAAATCGAACATCATATTAGCCTGGGATGTACTTTCCGTCATAGTAGCGGTAAGGGCGAGCTAGGGAGAGAGAAGAAATTGACTTTTGGCTTAAGCTGACAAATTGGCGAAGGCGGAGGCTGTCAGTATAAATACTTGCCGTGAGGGCACTTCCCACACCAATGACTTTATATGAGGTGGCAAAAAGACCAGCGGTGCAGAGTGATGCTTTCTCTGTGATACCGCTATATCAAGCTGAGCTGACTTTCTTGGAGGGTAACCTTTTTAACTGGCATCGACCGGATGTTGTAATCCATTTCTTGAGGTAAGTGACGGTGAAACATAAAATTGATGGAAGCTTGAGAGCCGCTTGCCAGCGTGTAGCAACTAAAATAAAGATCGATACAGTAAACGCTTGGTCTAGGTAGAAAGAATAAATCGTCCTCTTCGAAACAGTTCGTGATCATTGGAAATGACGATCTCTAATCATCGGAGACTCGTATCAGATCCGCTTGACGAGCGGGAAACATGGAGCGTATAACTATGCCGTACTTGCTTATAACTAGGTAGGGTACCTATCCAGTGCAGTATAAAGTCCAGGTGGTGAGTGATTTGATACTACATAAAATACAAAAGCTTTCTGGCCAAAAGGCCGAGAACCTTTCCGGTATAACATGAGAATTGCTTTTGGTGTCTATTTATCAATTGTCAAAGAAGCCCAATCCTCCTCATGATCCAAGCACGTTTCCTGCCCTTTCTAGTTGCTCCGTTCTTCTCAAGATACAGCTTTAGAGCTTGATAATGATTTGTCTCAGCCTTGTCTTGTTGCAAGAGCCGTGAAAGAGGGGTCAAGTACATATTATCCAACGCATTGATATCGGCTCCGTTCTCCACCAGAATTCTCGCGGTGACATACGAGCCATATTGGGTGGCCCATGAAAGAGGCGTTCTTTTGTCTCCATCGCGAGGATTTATGGGTGTGCGGATCACTAATAGTTGAAGCAAAAGTTCTTTGCAGTCACCCATAGCTGCATAATGAATAAGAGACCTGTTAAATGGGCCCGATGGGTTAGAAATGCCTCTAAACTTGAGATCCCAATGGGCTTTTTCGAGGAAATCCATGATCTCTTCGCTGACTTGGTTGTCTCTCATTTGTTTCAGTCGTCGGAATTCTCCATCGATGACAGTGTTATAGGCAGCCATACGACGCCGAATGCAATGGCTATAGACGGTGGAATCCAAGACCTGGGAAGAAGGTCTTAATAAATATAGGTCTTGAGATCAGCACTTAGCGATTCCCAACTTACTTTCGAAGCTCGCGCAGAATCAGATATCTGACGCTTGTTTAAGATTTCCTGGTTGAAAGGACAAAGTCGTGCACTCCGAAGTCAATTCATTGCGGGTAGCCTGTGATGTCGGAAGGTGAAAAAGATGCGTACCCTACTATCCTACCAGTTCACCAATGGTTAATCGTTCTTGAATTTATTTAAACTCAAATTTCCCGCTCCTGTACTCCGGTGTCGCCGAATAAACGATACCCATCACCTCGATCTGGTTAAAAAACAGGGGATGTTGGACCATGAATGCGTTCTAAAGCTGAGCAGGATTCTCCACCAGTTGAGAGATTTTCAACTTTTTGCGACTCTCGGCCTTCACCAGATCTGACTCATCTGAGAAAGGCCGTTTAACCGGCAGCGAGAGTTCTCGATCATGATGATCGGGCCCCCCATGCCGGGGTGTGGTGTTCAAAGCGTCCAGAGCTGCGTGTGGAGCCTGATCCGAGGCCGATAGACGTAAGTCCTTGTCGGGGGATGGTACAACTTCACAACCCTTCTCCTCATTCATGATACGACGATTCGGCGATGCAGGATGCTTTGGCAGAGGCGGAAAGCCGTAGATGGCTTGTAGCCGATTTAAAGATATCATTGGAAAATACCGTTTTGAGCACTGCAGATTTTCAAAAACAGCTGTCTTTGTTTTCTGGCTGACAAACTGTTGAGGGCATCCGCACGAAGCACGGTCCGCAGCACTGTCCACTGAGTCCGCCCGTGTCAGCAATTGATAGTAATCAAAGTTTATGAGGGAAGGAAAACCACATACTTAAATCGCCGTGAATCAGGTCTGCTCTCACACCACTACATTTCTCTTCATGGAGGACCACGTGATACGGTGGGTCATGAATAGAGCGTTTGCGGATTGATTCCGTCTCGTTGTCTTCCCACGTAACCTTCAAGGCTCCAGCCAAGAACGACCTGGACACGGTGATTGTATGCGGCACGTGCCGAAGCAATCTTCGAATTCTCCGCAGAATCACCACTTCCGCGGATTTGGAAGCAGCGGACCGTCCCAGCAGGGGAACCAGGCAAAATTTCAACAACTCTTCGACAATGTGGTCGCAGAAGAAGACGTTATCGCGGAAGTTGACGTGATTGCAGAAAAATGATTGCGCGTCCGATCTTCTTGACAGAACTTCGCGACAAAAGCCTAGTCCGTGCGAACCGACAAAGTCCAGCCACTGGTGAGCAACCTTCAAGACCCTGGAGTGAGAGTTATAGAGCGCCTGGATTGCACTGCGTTGAGCACGCACATACTGTACCTCGATCTTTCTGCCGTCTAGAAGGATCGCTATGCAAGCCAGAAACGCTCTGTGTATGGTTTGTGCGTAGCTGGTCTCTGGGACTGGACACACCTCTGCATTGTTGAAACACCCGATTTGTTCTTCCTTTGGCGTCTGGATTGGCGAACAGGAGCGCAACAAAGTCCACAGAGAATCCGGAAGCTTGACCGGCTGTCTCTCCAAGATTTCTCGAATGCTTGCGATGCTCTGTTTTTCCGTGAGCTGCGCGCCACGCAATACCCCGTCAAAGGAAACTTACCTCGGCACTGGAGGCTTCATTGTAGAAAAATTTGTCATCGCCAGCCTCGCCCCGAAGATGCTTCCAGATGAGAAGCTTGGTCGATGATTGCAGAAAATGGGTAGCCGATTCAACATCGAGTGCCTCCGGGGAATTGCGTAGGAGACCAACGTAGATGGGAAGAAAAGCGGTGCGATGTTTCCATATTGCGGCTTCCCAGATTCGTCGCACCATGTTGGCTTCCTCATCTCGATCGACCAGAATCTGTCGGTCGCGATTCACCTTTCCCTGCAAGAAGTTGTAAGCAAATCGATACTGCTTGAGTCCGGACCCGGAGCACGGCAGACGCATTCCCTTGAGGTAGACCCGGCTGTGGAAATCGGGATCGAGGATCAGATCTCCAACCTCGGTTTCAAGAACGTCTGAGGGATGCGAAAACCCTCGAATGTCGAGCGTGACTGTCAGCCAAGTACGAAATTCTGCGAGCGACACAGCGTTTTTTCGCGATTCTTTTGGAGCTCGGATCTCGACCGTTACATCTCTCTCCACGCGAGAACGGAGCCGAAACATGTCGCCTCGTGGATCAGAGCTCTCGGGGCTGGGCTGATTGGAAGGCTTAATATCGCAGAAGAGACGAGATTCCAAGAGGCCAAAATGCCAGTAGCGCCTGCTAGCAGATAATTCCACCTCGAATCCACTGCGCACCATCACCAGAGCTGCCAGCTTCAGACCCTCTCCATGACAGCCAGCGGAGTTGGAATCATGTTGCTTCGATGAGCTACCGAGTTCAAGTGCGTTGAGACCTAGTTCAGCGCAGGAGTTGGAGATTGTCACGCAACCGCTGTGCTTGTCATACTTGATGAATCCCAAAGCACGACCTTGTCGATGTCGATCTGAGAGATCAGGGACGATGATCGCAACACAATCGCCTCTATCTTCATAAAATGGCTGAAAGTCGAGACGGCCTAAGTTGAAACGTGCCAAAATGGCATCTCTCCTATGTTTAGTTAGCTTTAGTCTCTGGCCACGTGTTTAGCAGTGGCGACATAGAACTGACCAATTCTGATAGAGCTCCCTGAACGCGGCCCGGGTATCCCAGTCTGGGACATATGACGAAGAGACGCCAAAGAAAACTGTTTTCCCGCAGCCACTCTGGTTTTGATGATGAGCTGGCTCAACTTGGAGAGTTTTGTTTGGATCCAGCTCTCCAACGACATTGTTGGGGGGATTGTTTGGCTGCATCGAGCCTATAGTAGTAGGATTCCCACAGTGTGACTGCTTTATTACAACCATGGGAAAGTGAGGTGGAATGCGAGACCAAAATTGATTGATGGGAGAGAATAGTGGGATTTGACGGGAATTTATAGGCGAGCGGCCGCCATTAAGGCCTATGATGCCAGCCAGTGCGGTACTTTCATCACTTCCGAAATAAGTCGATTTCCCAGTCCGTTTCAACATCCTGGTGATCACCGGCCAGAAAAGGGTTTTTGTATAGACCATGACATCCAAGTACGTACATCACAGACTGTGCAGTCAAAGGAAACGTTTAGTACTTTTCAGTCTTCGCACAGCATATCTCATCTGAAATCACTCATCAGTGACCTTTTTAGTCTATTAGCCAGTCGCAAGTCGTCCTGACTTCAATATGACAATTCATGTTGTGAGAGACGATGCATAACCAATTGATAACTTATCGTTTTGTATGATCCGTAAGCAGCCCAGATTTTGTTTATGTTTATGAATAAATGTTGAGTTCATGGTGAACAGGAGTCAGACTTTGATGGTTCCTTTGGAAAGTGGTTTCTCGTAGAGTGGGATGACTTGTATGGTCCTGGGCTCCGGCGGAGGTTGGAACACTTCAGACCCCTCCCCTTCTTTCTAGTGCAAATATGAGGCGTATCGAGTATGCAGCGACCGTTCACGGGAGCGAACTTTTTGGACATGGCGACTGTTGACGCATCCCAACGGTTAAACGTCGACGTTCAACGGTGAGCCCTACTTGCTCACTTCGTGTTCGAAATAGTTTTCTCAGATGTACGATCCATGGTACGCCAAACTGTCTGCAAAGTCAAATCCGCAGTGAAAGAAATTCGGGTCTCGTTTCCCAATAGTATGGCATCGCCCAGATTGTCAATTCGGTAGAGCGAACAGAAATTTTGATTTCAGGGCTTAACAGCACCAAAGAACTGCTGTAGTATCATTCCGTTATCCGCTATTCAGTAGGATTATTCCAAACTCTGTATGATGCATCGGCTTATGCGGGACCCCCGATTTGATCCAGAGCCTTCAATGGCAGAGAGCATTGATTCTCCATTAAATTGCATTCGGCATATTTCTAACAGTAATGTAGTGAGCATAGGCCATGGCAATCGGACTCAGAGCTATGGCACTCATATTTCTTTAAGCTACTTCGTACTTCTTGGATGTGTACTTGAGTTTCCAAGTGCAACGAGTACTGCCGGTCTTGGAAATTAAAGTACCAAATACAGCCACAACCTCGTGATTTTATATTAATTTCTCTCAAGATATACGTGGACCTGTCTGTGATGATATGACGGCAATAACAACTGCCCGGGTCTGACTTGATAGCAGAGCTCAACGACCCCGAGTTGGGCCATACCATGATTTGTTGCCGCTTCTCATTCAAACTCTTTCTCTAAAAATTGTCGTACCTCGTGGGAGAAGTCGTTCTCTACAAGGTGAAGAATTCCTTTAAGGGGTTCTGGCAATGTGATGGAAGGGTGCGACGAATGACTGAGCCCATTCTCTACTCGGCAGGACCGGAGATTTGCCTGTCGCCGTGGAACGACAGACCGTCCAGATGGCCTTGGAAGCGCGACCCGCAGGTATTTCCTAAGACGCCGGAGACTTTGAGTGTGAGAAGAACCACTCGTACGTTGAACAAAACTGATGGCTGCTCGAGTCATCCGCAGAAGCGATTGTCGATCTTGGGCGAGATGATGGACCGCCGCGTGGCGAATAGCCGAGATCGAATCTCGCCAGCCTTGGATATCGCTGACAGCTGGACCTGAAGGATTCGCTGTTGATGCGCGTCGGTGTCGATTGAGAAATTGAAACAGCTTGTGTAGTTCCAAAGCCTCCGGACATGTCCACCCATTTTGTACCGATTCCGGGAGGAAATACCGCTCGACATACCAAAATGCATGATATTCGAGATGCCGCTGGATTGACTGCAGAATTATATGCTGCGCCTGAAACGGAACCCAGCCCCTCTGGTGTCCCGACGAGAGAATATAATGCGTAGAGTACATCTGGTCAACAGTCAGTCAAAGGCGTTGGCATCATCCGAATTTGTGTTCTCACCGGACACGGGTTTTTCTTGCAGGGAACGGACGAAACCTCTGAGCATTTCTATATGAAGTGTATTAGAGAGCGTCTAGGTCGAAGGAGCCGTGTCCGTACTCACCTTGTGGTTCCCGGTCTTGAACGCACGCGGGCGAGCGGAGATGTCTGATACAAAAGTCATGCCCTGCTCAGGCCGCGACATCCTCTTGACGCATTTGCCGCCTGGCAATTCTCGTCTTCGATGTCGCCTCGTTATCTTCGGCATCGTTCTGTCCCAGCGCCCGTAGTGGAAGGGACAGATGACCTGCTCTGGTGGACTGTTTGAAAATTTGATCTTTTAGCAAGCCAGACAGTCAGGCAAGATGCGCTAAGAAAAGTAGCATATACTATTAACAGTCATGAAGAGGAGAGGACCCCAAATTCACAATTGGAGCGCAAGTAGCTGTATAGTCGTCTAAGCTGGCCACGTAACCGGGAGAATCTTCCTCTTGCCAGTTCAAACGCAACCGATGTTGCTCAACGATCGGTTGAACGCGCTTTTCAACGACCGTTGAAGGTGGTTCACCGTAAACATCTTGAATATGAGATGCAACCGCCAAGATATGATTCCATGGGTGGCCCCGTCTAGATTCATGCACGCCACGGTTCGAAGTGGGGCGCTTGGCGAGATTGGCCGCAAATTCTAGATCGCATTCTTCAACGGATGTTGAATCACCTCAACTGGCCGCAAAAATGAAATATTTTCTGCGGAATTACAGCATAGTCCATCATCTCTCTCATAAAATCTGCATAGCTGGCAGATATGGGCAGCCGGAGGCGAAAAGACATAAAAGGACGCTCCACAACCGGTCTAGAAAGTCAGGACTTCGATCCTCATCCTCCGAGACGGCACGGTCTTGTCTGCCCGCAGAGTTCAAATCTTTTTGGTCTTAGCATTCAATGTCATGAGCCCAGTGAAGTGGGGGATACGTCCTCTCGGAGGACACGCTGTGCGTTATCAGGGGGAATCCGCAGGGGAGAGCTGCGAAAACAAGGACCTCCGCAGAAGACGACTGCGACAACAAGCGACTCCGCAGGGGAGAGCTGCGACACCAAGGACCTCCGCAGAAGACGACTGCGACAACAAGCGACTCCGCAGTGACAACTGCGATACCAAGAGTCTCCGCAGGGGGGCGCTGCGTCACGAAGTGAACTCCGCAGTCTAGGGTCTGTGATGACAAAATCCTCGCAGCTTGAGGTCTGCTTTACCAACATCCTCCCTCACAGACAATGAGCCCTGTGTTTGTAAAAGCGTGCTCGATCGGGTAGGACCTAGGGCCCAAGGTCTACACCATGATCCTCTAGCGACATGCAGGCACCTCTCCGTGGTGCTAGGGACCAGTATTCAAGTCTCGCTCCGGCGCTTGAAGAAGCCAAGACCTGCACGCCCCATCTTTGGGTACACTATGTAGCCCGAACCATGGGGGAAGTCGATAGCATTGCAATGAAGACAAATTCTCGATTCTGACTTGTCCTAATGTAGAGACTGATCTTGTAAGCCCTGTCACTAAATTCCAATATAAGCATGGCACTACGTGGAAACCCTCAAGCCACACGGGAAGCAAGAGCATACGTACAGTGTTGTCTAGCGAATAGAGACAATTGGATCACAGGCGACACGTCAGTATTACAACTAGTTGATAGTTCACATCGATTTCACGTCAGTGTTTCCATGTAATTTGCGGATACTGAGATGCTTGTCGACACTTTTGACCGTGTTGGTGAAGATGGTGAAGATGGTGAAGATGGTGAAGATGGTGAAGATGGTGAAGACGGTGAAGGTGGTGAAGACGGTGAAGATGGTGTTGAAGCTACGTTGAAGTAGTGAATCACTAATCACGGGCGGTGAGTCGACCAAATAAATCACCCCTAGCGCCACTCGCACCTTGTCCTTGTCCGAGTTACATGCAACACCTGATTTGCTTTTCCTTCGTAGTGCACAGCGTCTCTAAATTCCATATTGATTGGAAGATTATACGGCACTACATAGACAGCAAGCTCTGGTAAAACCCTGATTCACTCTAGTGGCATAATAGATTTTCTTGGAATTCAGAGGAATGTGGGTTGAATTATTCTTTTTGATAAGAAAGAAGCGACTGTGTATAGAAGTGAAAGTACTAACTAATGTCTAATCAACTGTCTTCTTCGTCTAATTAGTGCAGGAATTAATTCTAATGCTGCCCTGTTGTTCCTGATGCGCTCTTGTCCTGTATCCCAACATATTTCAATTACTGCTGAGTATACAACGGTCTCCCTTTTTTGAAGGACAACTATGGTCAACTGTTAAACAAAGCATGATTTGTATAATGTTGAAAGGTCAGTCGGGGGTTGAGGCTAGTTATGAATTGAGGATTTCACGCTTGACATAGGGATCTCTCGACTTTATTCCGATCCGGCTGGATTCCTGATCTGCTGCAGCCTTGAATCACTACGCCAAATTGATGCTGTGCGAATATGTATGCGATTGCATTTTCTTCGTATTGTGGGCTTCCACTTACGTATGTCCCACGAACTTAGAAGGCTACAACTTATTCCTGACTTCTACCAAGCTTATACAGCCCATTGGTCTCATTGGCACCGCTGTCAGCGGTCTACGAGGGACACAAAATATCTCACAATCGCCTGATAAGGAACACCTCCCAGATAGATCAACCCTCGTATCCGACATCCATGACCTGCGACCGCCCGTTGCAAGGATAATGCGATGGGTGGTTCCATACTCTCCTTGGTACTTCGGTCAATGCACTTGGAATTATCGTGGCAGATCGCACATGGAAAAGACAGTCGGGATAGCGCAGAGAATCCGTACTGACAAGAAACACAAGGAACTTTCGGCCAAGGCTCAGCCGACAATTTGTGGGCAGGAAGCAACTCCATCTTTCCCTCTCGTGGAGCCAAACGAAGCCACAGATCGGGTTGCTCTTATAAGCACCGAGTCAGGTGCCGGGGGAATTGCAAGGAGCTGTGTCGGCAGGGGCTGTGTAGATATGGATAGAAAGGCAAGAAAGGCGCGTTAGTCCAATTCAACGCCGTGGCTCGCGGCCCAGTTGCAGAGCCAGCCCAGTCTCCTTCGCTCGGAGGCGAGGACTTGAGGTACTGGGTGGAACAAGTGCATCAAAGTTCAATCGCTTGTGGGCATCCTTGGTAGAAAGAGGGGTGCGATCTGGGTTGCCAGGTGTACGGCCGCCCCAAGCAGGCTGAGCAGGTCTAGGGGTCACATTCACGAAATCAGCAAAGTTGAACTGCTGATCCGGCGTACCCAAGTTGGGAGTGAACGTGGGAAGGACTGCATGCTGGGTGGGGGGAGTGGACGGTGGGAACGCATGGTGCGAACCGCCTACCACGCGAGCCGGGGTAGGCGACTTGGCCAGGTACATGAGCAGGTCTGCGCGATCTTCGTGCTGTTCACTCCGGGCCAGATGGGCATGCTTGGGAGGCGGAGTACAAGGCGGCGAGGATCCCCACATGGAGCTCACATGCCGGAAGCTATGTATAGGCAGATCCGGGTTGTTCTCCTCATCAGATAGGGCTTGATATATAGGAGAAGATAGCTCGGGGATTGTGGTATCGGACATGAACGGGCAAGGGTGCCGGCGAGTTGTCATATGGCAATTGAGGGCCGGTGAGGACGCAGGCAATTGGTGAGAGCTCTTCCACGACAGTCGAGCAGCCTTGGCCGGACGCTCGGTATCAGAATCAGGCCGGACACGCTTGCGGCTGGCCGAGAGCATAGGCTGCATAATGTGGGAATTGAAGGTGACGGCATGCTTGTTGCGGGCTGATCGAGGCGGCTCTTTGGAATATGCTGCGGCTCGGAGGGGAGGGGAGGTCATGGGTGTCTCGCACCGGCTGCGAGAGAAGTCAGAGGAGGAGTCGGAGGGCTTGTCACTGCTGTCCTGCGTCGGCATCAACCCATGAAGTCGGCCATGCTGGTACTTGAGCTTGGCCAGGCCCAATCGGTTCTGTAGACTCAGTGAAACCTATAAGAGCGCCGTCCAGGTCAGCGTGCGTTGATTCTTGACTGGGCGCGAAGGTTCTCGAGGCAGTGAATTGTCTATCTGGCCCTCCTGAGCCATTGCTAGGGCTTGACAAGTCCGGGTGCAATCTGCACCCCAGATACAGACGATCCACTTCCATTCTGAGGCTCTCGAGGTTTGATGTTTTTTTTGAGGTATTCTTGCCTGGGCTATTTCCAGTTTCCGAATGGCCTTCTCTGCGGAGCCAGGCTGTGAGGACAGGGTCATGGCGGGCAAATGAGGGAAAGGAAAGTCGAAGGCAGGGCAAGAGATGATCTTTTGCTGTGGAGGATTAGGCTTGGGCGTTCGCTGCAAGGGCGGGCTGAGTAGAATTGCCGAGTGAGACCCAATTGGCGAGAAGAAAACCGGGGCTACTTTGGCCGAGAATGGAGTCGGACAATTTGGGTGAGACCAGGAAATTACAATGAGAGAGTGTGTGATATGGAGCTTTTATTCTTCGAAAGAAGCATAGCCCACCCTCATCCATCGTCTTTCGAGATACAAAGTGATATTTCGCAGAGCACACGTGGACAGAAACGCGACCGAGCAAGGTGAGAGATTGGAAGACCAAGGCCCTGGTGGTGATTATTCATCGCAGCTGATGCGCTGCAAGACCAGTGGCAGCGCTGTAGGCTCCTTTTCTTGATGATGAATTCTGCTGTATGCGACGAGATATTCCATTCCATTGAGCTGAGGTTGGGGCCGCTCAAAGTTGTAGGTGGGCGAAGCGCGTCGCGTCGTGTCGCGCCGTCGGCATGCCAACAAAGGCGGTAGCGGTGCCAGGATTCTCCACGCCGAGGCTTGCCGGTGTGAGTAGCTTTCTAATGTCCAAAATGCGATCAGTCATGATTCTTGATCGCGCGACGACTTGTTTTGTTTGGGATAGCGGTGCCTGGGTTGGGGCGTTGATTAGGCATACATCGTTCACGAACCAAGGTGAGTACTCCGCCGCGTCTCTTCATACGGGCTACCGCTGCTGCGCATGCTCCGTTGAAGTGTTGAACCGCAGAATTCGGAGTGCTTCCTAAGCTCATGATCATATGATGATTTTCCACAAACTGTGGCAGTGTATTGGTCGTTACCCTTCCCATGAGGGAGTAGCCTGAACTCTTCCTTATCAGCAGGAACACCAAGCTCGCTTGCGTTCAATCACTCATATTTCATACCGTCACATTCTCATCGAATGAAAGCCGTGTCGGCTTCTTTAGCCTTATCCCGGCATTGTAATAAAATCCAGGAAACACGGCCGTCGGGTCTGATGAGGTATCAAACCAGTCGAATAGGCAGCAAGTTCCTGTCACAAGTGGGCATACTTGGTGCAGGGCCAGTTAAGTAGGAAATGAGTCGAACTATTGGAGCGGAGACAATGACTAGATGGCGATACACGGTGTGCAGACTGCGCATAGAGACAAGACGGGCCTACCATCAAGGGGATGGGGCCGTTGGAAACTGTTCAAGGCGGGGGCGAGATGAATGGAGACCGATGCCAATCGACAACTTGACGTGCAGAGAAAATGTCAGTCACACAGTCATCAAGGTATCTAGCTAATCAATACTTACCACTCAACACTCTATACAGGGGCGTATTCGTGAGCGACTATGTTTTTCGGGATTAGCCGTGGCTTTCGGACGCGTTGTTATATATGGACAAGGTACAGTATTTTAGAAGTGCTCAACAAGATACATGTTAGAGCGTATGATGTATCGTCGAGGTGCGGAGTGTAGATAAGGCCCATGCTTGTATCACCCTTGATATCAGCCACACATCAAGCAAGCAGGGCGACGAGGCGTACGTACTTACATGCAAGTTTGACAATCGTCAGAAGGGCCTTGGAAGGAAGAACTGCACTTGGTCAGCACATCGTAGATCAAATCAGAGCGTACAATAGGACCAGTGAGTCCTATGGGTGTTGACCTTGGTACAGGTATGCTGCAATCTGCGCGCTTCGTATTAGAGAGACGGAAGGATGGCCGGGACTATCGAAGTGTTGTATAAGTAGGCCTCCTTCTTATCGTTCAGGGATTTCTGCAGGCTGGTGATTGTATTTATAGATATCGCTCGCCCCATTCTTGGTAGTTCCGTGTCAACGTTGATGTTCAGCATCTCGTAGCGTAGCCTTGCTCACTCCTTACGAGTGTGCTTTCTACCCTTTTCAACGGCGGGCAGATTAGACTGGATTTTCAAGATCAACTTGTGGCTTTGGGTCGATGGTGACTGTCAATTCAACCATGGATTATGGTTGCAGACACTTCTTGCAAACGCTTCTTCAACGGGGCTTTCTGTTCTCACCGTGGCGTTGACTCAACGACCGCACTCGCAACATCACCGTTACATTTTTGTACTATGACTGCTATGCGATGTACATGATACTGGCGTCAGGTTTGCCTCCGCTACCACACCAAGCAATTCACCACTTGCAAGGAACTGAGTCACTTAGTGCCAATCGCGAATCTGCCAAGTTGGACCCTTGGTGTCAACTGCGGTCGCTCTTCCTCTCAGCACTAGGAACCACAATAGAAACTTAACTGGGACCGCGGCATCTATTACTTTTCAAGTGGCGACTTGGTAGCTCCTAGCTCCTGTTTTGTTTAATTACTGTACTTGCATGTCTCTTGTTGTGTGTTTGGTAATAGGTGAATTCATATACATGATTACGGTACATTTCGTTGCCAGATGGGCAAAATATATTATTATTATTAATCAAGTTTATTGTCCGTATCGAGCCCTAAAGCTATGACAGACCACGGGTCTGAGGTTGGGTCTGTTTCCGCTTGGTATAGCTGTTTCCAGACCCCCGCTGCTATGAGTTCCTGGGCGTGAGCCCCATGTATGTACAGTCAGGTCCTTTTCCTCGCCCCAAGCCGCCTATTTGCGCAGGGCATTCGAGCCTTTTGTGGCTCTCCTCGGTGTCTCAACCGGGATGGGTGTCCCCTAGGCTGAGTGCCTAGGCTACCCTTCCTGCTATCCTTCCCCCATCCTCTCAGTTTCCTCCAAGTCCTCTAATCCCCATTCATCATCTCGTCGAGCTCGCTCTGCCAAGGCCAGGTGATGGTCTTGAGGCAGGGCTGCCTTCGTCGTGGCCAAAAATTGTAAGATGGCCTCTGTTGCCTTCGGTTCCCCAAGAAGCCTGCCTTCTGGGCACTCTTCGGCTGCTGACGGTCTGGTGACCCCAGCTCGATCCAGCGCGCGGTACAGCTTGATTCGCTGGTGCTGCCACGCTCGACATTCAAAGAGAACGTGATGCACGGTCTCTTTCGGTGCATCGCCTTTCTCACACGCAGGGCTTTCCCGTGCGTGAATCTGGTGGAGGTGAGCTCCGATAGCCGCATGGCCGCTCTTTAACTGGAAGAAGCGGGTGGCCAGCGGTTTCAGGGCTCGCGATGCGACTGGGTCCAGTGTCCAGCCTCGATACGGTCGATAGGTTCGCTGTTTATAGCGAGAACGCTTTGCTAAATCTCGGGCGAGCCAGACTTGTTTGCGGTTTTGGATATTCTCCGTGCACGTCCGGTTGACAAACGCCAGTGAGAGTCCTGTGATTCCTTCTGGATGGCACCCCGGTCGACTAGCCGCGAGCTTTGCCGCTTCATCAGCTTTCTCATTTCCCTCGATTCCGGCATGGCCGGGCACCCATTGAATGATGGTTTCTCGGCCTCGCTCCTGTAGAGCTCTGGCTGCTGCGTGAGCTCGAAGCGTCAGTTCCTGACCGGGGCCTGCTTGCGTGTGTCGCAGCCTCGCAATCGCGGCTTGGGAATCCAGCAGAACTGTGATTGGACCACTGTCATCCACTTTCAGTGCGGCCTGGAGGGCCTGCACGACTCCCACAAGCTCCGCATCAAAGACTTCTCGTCCCGTTCCAAGGGGAAAGCTCCGGGTCCTCCACTCTCCGCAAGGCTCGTGCCAGGCAATCCCCGCTCCTGTCCGGCCGTTCTCGAGCCTCGACCCATCTGACCAAATCGCGCTGCCTGGTTGCACCGTCCGCGCTGCGGTGAGAGAGTCCTCAGTCCTTTGGACAATGATCCTCCCTAGAAATCCGCTGCCATTACCGCGCCGAGCGCTCTCGAAGCCCGCAGATGGATCGGCTGGGAGGATGTTTGCTAGTTGTCGCGCTAGGTGCTGTCCTAACGACCATGGTCCCCGGCCGTGCGGTTCGGCCCAGAGTCGATTTCCAGGGGTGTGCTCCCCAGGTTGCGCATGTTGGTCGCCCTCCCGAAAACTGACCGGGAGGATTGATCTGGCTGGACTATCGTCCGGTAGGCTAAGCAGCCGAGCCGTGTACCGCAGCTGACGGCCCTCAAGGAGGACCTCGGCCGGCGTTAGACCCGCTTCCCTATTCAAGAGACCCACGGGTGTGGTCTTAAGCATTCCTGTGATCGCACGGGCTTGTCTGTTGATCATCCGCTGCATTCCCGTGATACAGTCCTTTTGGCCGCGCCACCAGAGTTCCGCTCCGTACAGGGCTACCGACTGTACCGCAGCCACCTGGATCCGATGGACCAGGCCTGGCGCTAGGCCTTGTACGCAACATAAGGATTGAACCCGAGATTCTGCATTCCGGGCCTTGCGAAGGCGTGTCTGATAGTGCATCTTTAGTGTGAGGCCGGCGTCTAGCCAGATCCCCAGCCACCGGGTGGCCTCGTGGTTAAATGAGACTGAATGGCCTCCTACCATGATGCGGGCCCGCTGAATTTGATTCCGTAGCTCCTGTCCACGCTTGCGGGTGAACAAGACCGCCTCGGTCTTCTTCGCCTCGAACTGCACGAGGTTGCTCTCACCCCATTCGATTGCAACCTGGGCAGCTTCCTGTAGTTTCTGACATGCTTCCTGGACCGAGTACCCTGGCGCTAGAAAGCCCATATCGTCTGCGAACGACAGCAGCCGTACCCCCGGGATGGCCCTTTCAATTGCGTCGAAGATCCCGCTTAGGTAGATAAGGAACAAAATTGGGGACACCGGGGAACCTTGAGGCACGCCTGAGTCGATCCTGTGGGCTGGACATTGTATATTGTCGATGACGAGCTGGACCAGTCGACCGCTCAGGAACGACTGTACCCATCGGATCAAGTCACCGTCGAAGCCTAGCTCTTGCATGCGAATCACGAGTTTTCTATCGTTGACATGGTCGAACGCGCCCGCCACATCCATGAAAAGAGCCGCCATGAGCTGCTTTTGTTTCCACGCATCGTGAGTGCTCTGGATCAAGCATGCCACGGCATCCACTGCGCTACGTTGTTTGCGGCCACCCATCTGTCCGGGGTGAAGGCTTCCTGTCGTCTCACAGTGATCTGCAATAGCCTCTGCCGCGATCTTTTCCACCACCTTCCCTAGGCAGTTTAGCAGGCTGATGACCCGATATGCCCTGACGAGCGTATGGTCCGGCTTATCGAGTTTTCTCAGTAAGATTCCCTTAGCGGTCTTCCATGCTTGTGGGTGAATGCCTAGCCGGAAGCACTGCCGGGCTAGCGCTACGATCCGTGAGCTATCCCATTCCCACACGAGTCGAAGGGCTCGAAAATTCAGCCTGTCGATGCCGGGCGCCTTTTGAACCGCCTGATGGAACAGGGCTCTCTTGACCGTTGCTTCGTCTATGCACTTGTGGAAAGATCCTGGGAGAACTTCAACAGCCTCCCTGTCGCCCGGCGCTGGTGGAAAGGCGGTTTCTCGGACCAGTGCCTCTTTCTCGCTGATAGACACGGCTATCTCTCCTTGCGGCCCTTTGAGGGTGGGGGTGATGGCTGTTGCTTTGGGCTTGGTGAGCCTAAGCGCTTGCCAGCATCGGGCCGTTTCCTCACACGGGTGGTCTGGGGTGTCCGTCGGCCCTGCCAGGAAGGTTTCCCAGCACGTTCGTTTCGCCCTTCGAATAGTCCTGTAGTAATCGTTCCTTGTTTCTCGAAGGTCGATCGTGGTGATGTGCTGCCCCTGCCACGCTCTTCTCGCCTGGCAGTAGGCCTCGCGCGCCTCTTTGACTTCTCGATTCCACCAGCGTTTGGACCGTGGGGTCACTCGCACTGGCTTCGCATACTGGTTGAGCACTGCCGTAAGCGTTTCCTGCACCCATACTGCCTCTCCCTCGACCTCCTCCGCCGTACTTGCGTCGTCTAGGAGCCCTCTCTGTTCGGCTTCTGCTTGCCACATCTGTTTCGCTTGCTCCAGAGCTTGGCTGTCTGCCTGGAGAGCCTGGATCTGCCACCCCGTCACTTCGTCCGATGGGGGTTCCCATCCGTGCTCTATTGGGGCCCATTCCATCACCAGCAGCTCGTGATCTGACCCGGTTGTGTGGTCCTCATCCACCGTCCACGCCTGCAAGGGCCCCATGTCCACTGTCGTCAAGCTCAGGTCGATAATTGAGATCCCCGGCGTTGTCTTCGGCCGTGTCGGGATCCCTAGCGTGTTGTTGATATAGAGACTTTCGCTCTCGATCAGATCCTCCAGTGGTCTCGCATTCGTGCGACTATTCGCTTGCGGGTTCCATAGCGGGCTATGTGCGTTGAAGTCTCCGAGAAGTAAACATCTACCCTCCAGAACATTGTCCCAGTACACATCCTCTATCGCTCTCCTGCGTTCCTCGATGTCCCCCTGCCAGCATAGACCCGGACCAAGCCAGTTATCATAGCAGTTAATCACGCGGGTTCTTCGCTTCTTTTCCTTCGCTCGGCCCAGCTCCCAGACGTCCACAGCCATGATATATGGGTGATCTATGAGATCTGTACGGGCTTCCACTACCACCTGGTTGAATAAGTCGCGCCGGATTGCCACGGCTACCCGGCGATTTCCCTGTGCTCCCGCCTCGGGCCAGTAGATCTGGTATCCGCCGTGTCGGAATTCATTGCCTATATAAGGTTCTTGAAGGCATACTAGGCCCACCCCTAGCTCTAGCCCAGCCTCGAGTGCCGCAATCGTAATTGCATAGGTCTTGCGGCAGTTGTGTTGTAGGATGCGCATTATTGATCAGATTGGTCATCCACCGTCGCGTTAGTCCCTTCCGAGGCGTCGTCACTGAGGTCCATCGCTTCCTCTGCTCTTGGCTGTCGGTCTGCGGGGGATTGCCGATTCGTCGGGGCTAAACCCTCCGAGGCTACGCTGCTACGCACTCCCGCGGTAGGCCTTTGCAAATCGATCGTGGGTGATCCCGGGCGATTCGGGGCCGACGGCACCGAGTCGCTTCGATAGGCTTCCCTGCTATCCCGTTGCTGCTTTCGAGCCGCACGCCTAGCTGGGCAATTTCCAGCGGTGGCGGAATGTGGCCCTCCACAGTTACCACATTTCGCGGGCGTGTGTTGGCAGGCGGTGCCTGCCTTAGCCGAGCATTCTACTACGCGACAAGTGTGCTCGTGTCCCTCATGTGGGCCCGCACAGATAAAGCAACATGGCGGATTGCTCCCACAGGCTTTGAAGCTGCGATGGCCAAGGCGGCAGCATCGAGGGCAGACCGTATCTACCCCCACTTCCCAGTAGTGTTCTGTCTTATACCGGTTTCCTCCAAACCGAATCCCATGGATCAGAAGCTCCCGGGCCTCCTCGAGGGACCCTACAGTGACGACGATAGTAGACCATTTCCTGCTGCCATCCTGCATATCCCTGTGTCGCCGAAGCCACGTAGGGTCTCTCTTCAGTCGGATCCGGCTTCCTAGTTCGATTTCCTCCCTGGCAAGGCCTAGTCCACAGCTTAGGTAGCGACGAGTCGGAACTCCGTGCACCTTGACTCGGTACCACTGCTCCGGTAGCTCGGCCGAAATGATTGCCGGATCTGCCTGTCGTGCTGCCGCAACCACCAAGTCCCAGTAGGCAGGTACTAGCATAGACCCTAGAGCTTCTTTCTCCAAGAGCACGGTGACCGCACCAGTGCTACTATATCCCGCATCAATTACCCGGACGAAGCCTGGGAATTCGGCTTGGGCAAGTCCGCGGTTGACCGCAAGGATGATGTCCTCTTTGTCCACACGGGGGGCCGTTTGGCTCTGCTCGCGTCGAAAGACAATTCGTCTGGCTTCTTTCGGGGCGTTTTTCGCCGGCGTAAGCGCACTAGGTTGGGCTTTCTTGCTTGGGTCGGTTCTTTTTGACTGTTTTCTCTTGTGTACAACTTCTTGCCAACCGTGCCCTCCAGGCTTGGTGGCCAGCAGTGCGGCGATGTCCGCGAAGCTCGATGACGGTTGGTTGTGACGAGATACGGGCTTAGGTCCTGGTACGTAGTCTTGAGCGCGGGCTCGGAGATGGTCTTGATCGTGAGTGCGGAGTGTTTTTGGCACCGTTGGCCCACGCTCAGTGGACTGTGGCACTGCGGTTTGCTCTGGCGTCGCCTTTCGAACTTGTTCTAGTTCAGCCCGAAGCTGGGTGACTTCGCTTTCCAGTGTGGCGATGCGTTCTTTGAGCAGGTCTTCCTGAGCCTGCTGTTCAGCCTTCCAGCTCTCTAGGTCTTCGGCCAACTGTGTCTGTATCTGTTCCAGCCGGTCCTGGTACACCCTTTGCACTTGCGCTAGGAGGCCTGCGAGTGCTTTACCCGTGTCCTCAACATCTGTATCCAAAGTGGCTCGCCCCAGCACCCGGGACGCCTTCCGCTTGACATTTCGAGCCTCGAGGGCCCTATGAGGAGTCGTTTCACGTGCAGGTTCGGTCAGCGACTGCCCCAGTTCAATCAAAGGCGCTGGGACTGTATCAGAAAGCCAGCGATTTGGCGTTGGAGTTTCGAGCCCACCGCACAGTGATGAGCTGCGGTCGGGAAGATCAAGGAACGACGCGTTCATTCCACCACCACCACGTGGTTCTAGGACCTCCATGGTGGTTTAAAGTGGCCGTAAGGCCTCTCTCGATTGGTTGACGCGTAAAAATTACGTGTTTTCGATAGGTGCTGATTTTTGGTTTTCTCGCTCCTTATTACCCCTTACGGATAATGGAGCGAGATATTCAACCATTCCTTATTGAAGTTGTCACACAACAAAGGCTTGCTGGATTTCAGTTGATTGAAAATCTTGCATTGTAGCTGCCAGGACAATTCTCAGCCGACCGATGCTCGATGTCGCAGACGCTTCCCGAGAGCCGATCCGTTGTCTTGAATCAGTGCGCCGGGGGATCTAACGGCCGAAGATTGCGCTCATAACTTGATTTAGTACATATGTTGTAAAATATAAGAGGAAGCCTGATTGCTTTTCTCAAAAGGGCCCCGGTAGAGGATGAAGCTGATTGTAAATCAACCTAACGGGTGGTATGAGCCTATTCTTCGGGATAAGAGCGCATCCCGGAGCGAATACTAAGACAGTGAGGTTGGAGAGGAGAGAGAAGGAAGAAGCGCTGGAGGTACGATCAACACTTCGGCCTCCGCCAACCAGATCGCTCAAAACTAACTAGCCTATCTAGACGCGGTTCCCCAGTGTCATATAACGCTACATATAGGTACTCGAGAATTGATTCCGGTGATGCGGCTTGGTTCCGGATCTGCACAAGCCTCAAAATCACAACAGGACAAAATGGCCGCCAAGGTGACAGACGGGCTGTCGCAACTGAATGATCTTGTCAGAACATGGAGCAGTTACTTACAGCTGCCTCTCATTGGTTTCCTTCGTCCCCCGCCTTTCTTGGTGTTTGTATGTAATTACGGGGTTCCGAGACAACACTTTTAAGTCACTCTCAAGTATCCCATGGATCCTCTAAGACACGGAGGAATTAGTCCCATCCACATATCAACTATGGACTAACTCTGCAGTTGTGTATTTAACATGTCCTCTGCGTGCCACTCATTTTATCAATCAATCATTTTAATCTTGAATTGGTTCCGCTGGATCTCATTCGCTAAATATGCATACTAGTCCATACACTTTTAGCTTGTGCTGATAGATCTCAATGCCAACGTATACCATGTATCACACCCTAGGTGACGATATACTTTCAGTAGGCTTCTTGTCTTAAGCTACCGGAATATGAACGCGGAGGGATTCTGCCGAATAGATCGTGTATATACGTAAGAACATTTATGGTGAGCATGAACCCGCGCAGAGAGGTTATGAATGGATCTTTTTGAATATACGTCGGCCTGTACTGTAGTGAAGGGGGTTAGGTGGGGCTTGATAGTGAGGTGAAAAATGTTAGACACAAAAGTCAAGAGCAATTTGTAACATGCTCTTGGATCGATGACTTCACTATACCAGCATGTATGTAAGAATATACTCTACAAGTCAGGGTAGAGGCCTGTCAATCAGGTAGGAGAAAGGGACCAAGTTAGGATGTCCGGAAAGTCAAAGACTGTTTCTTGAGGAGCATGGAATCTCCTCCTCATTACTCAGTTTATATACATCCTCATGATTCAGAACAGGAAGGAGATGCATCCTAGAATAGAGGGGGGAGCAAGATGAACACGAGGCTTTGCATCCCTTCACCAGGGATCTTCCCTGTAGGTGCTCCCTGGGGTGTTGATAACGGACCGTCGGTGAAGTGTTGCCGAAAGGCTGCCGATCTGCCAGGCCCGACGCCTCAGGCACCAATGTGTGAATAACCTCATGTTAAGGTATATCATAACACTGTACTTGAAGTCAAAAAGCATGGGTAAATTCAAGCACGGTGGAAATCCGGTATCGGCGATCGGACGCCTGTTGCGCCTATCAGCAGCAAGGTTACTGACGCCGGATTAGGATAACACCACTGCCGGGTGGAATCGCAGGGTGCGCCTGTTTTTTGAAATCCGTCGTATGGTAATTTTTCACATTTCTTCAAAAAACACAAAAGCGGTAGGACTCAAAATTGAAATACTTTAGTACGGCCAAACATAAGCGCATCGCAAGAAAGCCTCCTGTGCACCACGGCACTTCCTACCCGCCTGTGACCACCCCAATGCAGGCCACGGAAATATGAAAGTGTAGAAGTGGCTATGCAAGTCACTCTCCAGTATAGATGAAGCAAATCGTCAAGCTTTATCCTACCAATCTAACCAAAAAGATTGGACAATCCGCCAAAAAACGGCCTAATAGGGTAGTGTCGGAGCAAGCTGCGACAGTAATGGCTAGTAATCCTAATAGGCGAATGAGGTCGAGGATAGGAGCAAGTGGAACCAATCTTGGATGCAAAGGTTGATTGATTGAAGAAAGAACGAATGTCCTGGGGTGAAATACCCCATGTATGGCTAAGGTACGCGGTGTTACGACGTCCGCAATGCCGAAGATACCAAATTACTATACAAAACATACGAGAAAGTGGGTCACTGAGTATAACCCCTGTTCAGGCGGTAAGTTACCACTCCATGTCTCGACAGATAGTAGTCGGGATCGCCCCACTGAATGCACAAAGAAGCTCCCAGTTGCCAATGGCAAGCAAGTACACAATCCAGTCAAGGCTTCGCAACATTCTGTGAAACCGCCTATTAAGAGAACGAACACGTATCGATGAATTATCGCTTAACACTTTTTCATTCCTGAGTTTGAGTCATCTCTTTCGGAAGATGTTGGAGGAGGCTGCAATAAATAATTGCTGTTCATATGATGCAGGATGTGAAGCACCAGTCGTTGCATGCGCACTTGGGTGCCGGTTGGGGGATTTTTTAACCCTGCAGTAGATATATATCGGAACAACAGTAACACCGCCGTATATCCCAAGCCCGAACGTGGTTTGTGTTTTATGGAATCGCTAAAATGTGACCTGACTGCGTCTGTGTTGTTCGGGTCATCTAATTTCAAATGCGAGTCCGACGACGAGGCTGCGTAGAGAACCATCGATAAGAATCGCAGGGAGCTTTGGTGGACCGTCTGAGCCAGTCGCCTCAGAGCTACTTGCCTCCCCGTTCTGAGAAAACGTGACCGGCTAATTGATCGACTTTTGTGAGGATATGGCCAAGTAACACCAGGAACCTGTCTTTGAAGAGACGTATTCCCATTCCACATGCTAGTATGATTCGGGGTCAGCTCAAATTTATCGGGGATTGAAACTCGAAAGGGTGCTTGCGCTGTCGGTCGGGTGGTGCAGAGTGGGTCTTCCGCCATCCTCCACATCACGCATACAAGGAATCTCAAGAAAGTAATTTCATCACAACCAGCCTGCATTGAGAAATACGGGGCCCAGTCCACAGTGTTAGGTTTATAATAAGTCGAGTTGCGGATAGATGACGTGGTGCAAGATTTTGTGAACTTGTAAATGTGCGAAAAACGTCACGGTGTGAAGTGAGATGCGACAAGCCTTTTAAGGACGCGAACGAACCTAACCGTCTACCGCCACATCCGCACAACCATCAATATCGCCTATCTATACTAGACTTCAATGACGGTTGGATCTAGCCTTCCTCAACATTCTTTGAAACAGGCAACGTGCTAGAAGATAATCTTCCGGCCCGCAAATTCTCGCAAGAAGCCCAGCTGCAAGTTTAATCTGAGGTGCCTCCAGTTAAGAAAGCCATCATGAAGTTTAGAGCTGTTGAGGCGTTGAAGCTTCAACAACAACAGGATTGACGTGTGTTGAAAGTTGTTTCATCGGCCGGCATTTTAATGCTGGTACGGGGACTTAGAAAAGGCCCAAGCGCAAGTAGACATTTGTTGGCACCTGGAGTCTCCACACATAAATACGACAGAGTCAAGACATATGGTCAACTACAGAAAACGACTCCCCAATGGCTACTCCTCTGAGTCGCGTTAAAAAAGAACAGTTGCGGAAACGTCGAAATAATCTCTTGCGCCGCCATAATGAATTTTGGCTTCTATATGCGATAAAAAGCTGGCTTATCATGGAAATGCCAGACGGGCAGATATTCACGTACCATTCCCATCCTGATAGTGCACCTCCTAGTCGTGCGAAAATCGTAAGATGGCCACTTTCTAGGGTTGATTCGGCCTTACCGCTGAAGAGATTATAGGAGCAGCAATCCAAACCAACCGGACGGAAAACACCGCGCGATTATGAAGCTGTGGGACAGAATCCGCCGCTAATTGAACAAAAGACTTCCACGATCGAGCCACTGATCCGACAGGAGAGCATTTGGGATCGTCTGGCCTGGTACATACAGCAGAATGGTATATCAAAAGGAGGCTGATTCCATTGGAGTGAAGGTGCATGTCTCTGACATGTTTTCAGAGGCAGTGATACTAAACATTTCAAATGTTTGATGGATTTTGGCTTTGTTTTCTATGCTGGATTGGGAGTCGACTTATCTTTCCGGGCTCGTTTAGGTACAGAGAATATTGAAAATATTTTCTCCTCCGGACACACCCTTTCTTTCCTAGCATCCCACTCTGATTATCCTAAGCCGGATAAGGCAGACGCTCGACGTCTCTGAGTAGAAGCTAGCTGGATGGTTGGCCAACAGGGACCTCTTGAGGTTCGACGATCTAGGCCCAGTTGGTGCATCCTGGGGAATCTTTTTCGTGGAAGATTTTAGTCGAGATTCAATGTCTATCTAATTACTGCCCTTTAAAGCAGGTAAATCCAACTAGTTTCATGACAGGAGTCCTCCATAGTCTCAGCTGATCCATTATGCATCACTCGAAATCAGCTTCTCGTGGTGGCGGTGTCGGGGACGAATGTGTTCACTTCGCGACAATTGAGAAGCTGGATCGTGTCCCAAAGAGCGTCATGTAACTCGGTCAACAGATGTGATAAAAGTATGACCAGTGGACCTACTAGAAAACCCATGTGGCTCTCTGGCCCTTGCATATCTCGAATGGGAATAATGTGCTCGCGGCGACTCCTGAAATTAGCATATGCCTCACCCAGGTCCGAGATGTTCATACCCGATGATGCAGATGCTTGCCCGGCTGTTTCACTGGATAGGAAAGCTAATTGGCGGTTAGCTTGCTATATGAGAGAG